GGCATCTTGTACCAGTAATTCTCTGGGGTTGGTTACCAAACTCTTCCTCTTCCCCTCTGAGGGGCTCAGCAATGTCAATCTTAAATATGGTCGCTTTTAATCATCGGATGACTGCTGCATCGTATTTTGATATGGGTTTAGTAAGTAGGCAACCTGAATAGCCGCCTTCTCCACAGAACTTTCGTTTGGATGCGGGAGGGCGAAACTGGTGTATATTCGGAAACATAAGCATCTTTCTACTTCATAACACGTTTAAAGATTGATGAAAACAGAGCGGACCTTAGGCAGCTCATATTACCAGCAAAGACAAGGGAGGGAAAAATGGCCATTTCTGGCTTATTAGTCGTCGTCAGCCGGTCATACCCAAACCCAAACTGGTACACTATCTGAGACTCGAACTCGCAACCTTTTTGAGAAGAGCGTAAGACTGTTTGAAAGGGTTGTGGGTTCGAGCTTTGGGTGGTGCACCACTTGGGGTTTTGTATGACTCGCTGACGACGATTAATGAGCCAGAAACGGCCATTCCAGTCTCCCTTGTCTTTGTGGGCAGTACTATCTGCGTAGGCTAATAGTCGCTACAGCTGCTGTAAGGGCCCCCGAAATGAGTCTCAAAGCAGAGCAAGACAAGTGAGTTAGCGATCGGTTTACGTTTACTGACGAGTGTCAATTGCTCCCGACATAATCCGACAAGTCAACGGGTTCTTCGCTCAGTTGTTAGAACGTTAGACTCTGTTCGAAAAGGTTTTGGGGTCGAGCCTCGAGTGATGCACCATTTGCGGTTGCGTATGACTCGCTGACGACGACTGATGAGCCATAAATGGCCAGCCCAGATTCCCTAGTCTTTGCCGACAGTACCGTTTGCCTAGAATACTAGCCACTACGGCTGCTATCAGAGCCCGAGAAATTATATCCAAGGCAGAGCGGGATAAGTGATATAGCGCTCGGTAAACGTTTATCAACATTTTTTGTTCAGAAAACCCTTATGAAGTTGACTCGTTAGTAATTTAGTGCACACACTGGTCAATGATCATTGGTCGCTATCAGCTCGATGTAAAAGATAAAGTGTGAAGGTAAAGCACAAAGGAGCATATGGATAAAATGACTTTGAGAGTAAAGTAAATACTGAGGATAAGCCTGATCTGTCAAAGAATTATATCCTTTGGTGAAAATGACTTTGTTCAGTAATGCCCATTGCTTGACTAATGCTGTCCTCCCTAGGTAGCCGTCTCTTTTTCACACATTGTGTCTCGTTTTCATGTGTAAACTCCCCCCGGTTATATACCATGCG